GCCAGATATAGTGGGGAGTTGTAAGTACTAGAATGTAAAATGTGAAAAGTGTAGCGGAAAGTGGATAAAGGAAATGATATATGCAATATATATGATATGTGTTACAAGTGGTATATACGATATATGCGATATATAAACTATACATTTATATGTACAACAAATGAGATATATACCTTGTGACGAGACCAATATATATGTACTATATTAAATATAATATATGCATGCACGGTATATGATATATGATACACATACATATGTATGTACGATACACGTATGTGATGTATACATTGTGACCCTTACATAGTACATATTGGAAATATAATATATGTACGATACATGTTATACGATACATATCAGCTTTTATATATGATTGCCATACGATATATGTCATACATATTTACCATATATTATATACATACATACGATATATAATATATACTATTATAAAGTCAATGCGATACATATCGAATTTTATATATGTTATATACGATATATAGGATATCGTAAAGATAAGATATGAAATATACATGTGTTATATATAAGATATACTCGTATACAATCAATACGATGCGAATTTTATATATGATATACATACGATATATGTATGCTATATATACGATACATTATATAATATACACGAAAGGGTATATACGTATACAATATATATCATAATAATACAATAAACACGATACATATCGAATTTTATATATGATAGGCATGTGATATATGTATATGTATATGGCATAGGTATATGTATAGGGTATACTCGCATACAATAAATGCGATATATATGCATCAATTAGTATTTGGCATTCAGTATCTTTATCTGTCTCTGTAGTATAAGAAAGTGAGACAAAACTCTTATGACAAATTCTGAAATGGAGTCCAAATGACTCCAAGCGGAGCTCTACGAACAAAGTTGATTCCAACTTAAAGGCAAAGAAGCAGCCGAAGAAGAAGGTAAACAGCAAAAACTTCTGCAAGATAGAAAGCAGAAATATTTTCTTGTGCCAATTAAACTTTTGCCATATATCCAAGAGTTGCTCTTCTTCTGCTTCTTCTTCTGCTTCTTCTTCTTCTTCTTTTTTGCTGAAAAAAAAAGAACAACTTTAAACTCTGAACCCTGAACGCAGGAATGTATTTCATTTTTAATTTTTCGTTGTCAAATCTGGGCCTGACTTTCGGCCGGACGATGCTCAATTTAACCTTAGCAACAACAACAACAGCAACAACAATAGACAGTCGCCGCTTCAGTGCGTCGCAGCTGTCTCTTTCATACACACACAGTCTCTGTCCCTCTCTCTCTCTCTCTCTCTCTCTCTCTCTGTCAGAGTGTGTGTGTATGGCCCTCCCGCATGTGGCATACATAAGAGCGGCAAGATAAAGCCATGAAAAAAGCCAACAAACAACAACACCAAAAAAAAAGGCTAAAATTTAATTTGTGCTCAGTGGCCCTTGTTGTTGTAGCTATTCTTCTTCTCTTGCCAGGCATTCTAGTTGCTGTTGCTGTTGTTGTTGTTGTTATTGTTGCTTCATGCAGAAATTGCTACCCAATTACGTAATAAAATCTGACTGAAGTTTTCTTTCTCTTTTATATTTAATTTTTGTCTTCGCTCTGCCCAGCGATATTTCTTGCTTGCTTCCATTCATTTTGCTCTCTGGCTGCTGGGATTTAGTTCAGCATAGAGCTTAGTGGGCGTGCCGGGGGAGGCATTGGTTGGAGAGAGAGAGCGAGAGAGAGGGTGAGAGAGAGAGAGGAGAGGCCGCTTGGCGCTTATTAAGAAATAATGCTGTAAAAAACAAAACGCAACGGCGTCAAATCAACTTTGTATTTGGCTATGAGCAACATTTTTGCAAAGAGAGAATACAAAATTAAATGTGCCAACTGAGAGTGTTTAAGACTAGGCAATACCCTGGCAATGCACCTAGAGTGGAGCACACGATTAAGGAAAATATTCAAGAGAAGATTGAATGTAAGGAATGGAGTCAGAAGTCAAGTCGAAGTAGAGCAAAAGTCGAGGCGAAGCTAAGGCTACACAAAAAAAGGTTTCCATGAGTGGAACCCTAAAGCTTAAGGCGACTGGGGAGCACAGCCCAATAGCTTGGGGCGCATTCAAATTACAGGGTATAAATATAACTACGAAATGGCAAGCGAAAACGAGCAGCTGAACGAATTGACGGGGAGACGCATTAGGCTGAGCGCAAGCAGTGCCTGGAGGCAAGCAGAGAGCTGCTCTGATTCCCATTCTGTAGCTGTGTGTGTGTGTGTGTGTGCAGAGGTCTTTTTGGGCGCAATTGGTGGCAGAGCTGATCAAATTACCCGCAGCAACGCATGTCCACTTACACACGCACACACACAGGCAAATATATGCATATACATGTATTTTCATACTTGTATATGTGCATGAGGCGCTTGCTTATGTAAATGCGTATTTGCGCACAGTCCAAAAGCCGCTTTGCCGCGACAGCTGTAAAGCGGCAAAGCCCGAGCGAGTCCTTGGCTGCATAATGATGTCGAGCAGGCAGGTAGGCGTGGGCGTGGCCCACGGGCTATGAGTGAGTGAATTTTTGTTGGCAATTTATGAATCGACGAATTAAATTATGCGTGCAGTACATTAAAAAACAACAACAGCAGCGAGAGGGAGAGCGAGAGCGAGAGAGAAAGAGCAAGAGCAAGACGATAAGCTAAAGAAACTGGCTAAACGGATGCTGAGCGAAATGATGCGTAAAACGAGCTAAGCAACAGATAACGTGACGATGGCAAGAGAAACGGCAAGAACAACAACAAAAGCAACATGGAATGAACGAATAAAAACAAAATCAAGAGGGGAAGAAGAAGAAGCAGAAGAAGAAGCAAAAGACGCAGATTTTCACACAAATCCAATGTGGAAATTAAGGCGAAAGCAGAGCCAAAGCTGGCGAGAAAATTTAATGAAATTCCCATGAATTAATGATTGAACAATCGATTAACTATCGCTTAGCATTCGACAATGAGCCAGATCAAATGAGTTGACTGATGCGAACTGCTTCACAATATGCAGGCATCGATTTTGGAATGGACAAACTGTATAAAATAAATGCAGCTAATTGAGTGTGCATGGATCTTGTTTAAGAAAATGAATCCATTAGAAAAAGGATAAAGTTCAGTTCCGTTCATTGAACTAGTGTACAATCAATACAATAATATTCTTTCCTATTATATCAAAATCAAAAACTATTCTCTGACGAGTTCTATTTCTCAAGCTTAGATCACTCAGCGAATGTAGGTCAGTTCATATGAACCAGTTGCTGTTAACTCTCGTTAATTGCTCTTTTCCGCCAGTGAAGTGTTCAATTCAGCTCCGTAGAACGAGCTCATATTGAAAGTACTTCTCTTAATAGATCCATCTCTCCAGCTTAGCTCACTCAGCCAATGTTCAAATGAAGCAGTTGCTCTTAATTCACGTTAGTTCCTCTTTTCAGCCAGTGAAGTGTCCAATTTAGTTTTGTGGAGCCAGCTTACATTGAAAATACTACTCCGACTAGTTCTAGTTCTCAAGCTTAGTTCACTCACCCAATGTTCATATGAACCAGTCGCGCGTAACTCACGTTACGTTACGTTTGCTTTGTACACACTAAAGACTGAACTAAACGCGTTCAATTCAGTTCAGTTCATATTGGAACTAGTTCGCATTTAAATAAGAATATTCTGCAATGCCCCCGCTCATCAGCTCCAGCTCCAGCTATGCCCAAGTACACTCGGCGCTCTGCTCCCAGCTTCAGGTTAATCATAAGCCGGATTCCATTACAGCTTAAAGCACTTTGCAGCACTGTTGTTGCTTCTGTTTAAATATCACGCATACGCAGCGTGGACCGCAAGCTCAACTCGAGTGCTCGAGGTGCTCGAGTGCTTGGGCGTTCAGCTCTCATTATAAACACTCAAAACGTTTACATTTTCATTGTCTGCATTTGTCAGAAAATAAAACAAAGCAAAAACAACAAACAAATGGAGAAGAAACAACAAAAGAAATATAAATAAAAAGCAAAATAAATAACAACAAGAAAAATATATATGAAAAGAAACCTAACGAAAATTATATGAATTTTATACGTATATGTGTGTGTGTGTGTATATATGCAATAGCCAGTCCAATGTGCAATCTCTACTGAATGTATGTGTGTGTGTGTGTATGTGTGTAAGGCAATAATCATAAAAACCGCCAAAACGTTTTTGCTTCCTGCCAAAAGTGGCTGCCGCACAAATATTGCGGCAATAATACATTCACAGTCAAGGCAAAACGACTGCCACGCCCCCCTCCCAGCCCCTAGCTGGCACAGCGGCAGCTCCCCAGTGAACTGTATGTATGTATTCGAGTATATTCAGCTCTCTATATATACATATCTACTCTGTCTCTGGCATTTGAAAGTCGAAACAGCAGCAACTCATGAGCCGCCGAGCCGCTGAAGCTGCTTCGTTTTGAGCTTGCGATTATTTTGCCATTATTTTCCATTATTTTACTTTATTTCAATGACTGTTTACATTAGGCACACACACACACAGACACACCTACACAGAGAGAAAGAGGCGCTGCAGCGCAGCATAAAAAATGTTGCATACTTCTAAGCGCGCGAGCTGCTCCGCTACATATATGTGATTGTATGTGTGTGGGTGTGTGTGTGTGTATGTGTGTCACTTTACTCTGCTTATTGAACAGGGCAGACATTGAAGCAGCTACAACAGCAACAACAACAACAACAACAATAGCAGCAATCGCAGTCATTTCTTTGATTTCGTAATACGTTTGCTACGGGCAAAACTTTTTTTTCTCGTTTTTTTTCTCATTTTTTGTTGTTGTTGTCTGCTCTGCTTTGCCTCTGGCTCCCTTGGGTACTCACGCCGGGGAATCGAGTACTTGATATATCAGTGCATTGTAAACTTTTGCCTTTGTGACTGCTCAGCTCACTAATATCGCTTTACTTATATTCACTCCATCTCCATCTCCATCTCTTTCTCATTTTAGGCCGAGATCTGGAGCGTTTTCATTGCGATTCTGCGAAAAAGCGTTCGCAACCTGCAGGCCTGCACAGATGTGGGACTCATCGAGCATGTTCTGGTGCGATTGCAGCGCTCCGAAACGGTTGTGGCAGGTAAGTCGAAACAGCACGGAAACACTCACACACACACCCAGACACATACACTTCCACAACAGCTCGTTAGCTATGTAAAAAGCAGTAAAGCACAAGAGAAGTAAATGAAGAGAAAACTATTCTCTGGGATGACCAAATAAAAGCTGTGGCAAAAGAAATTGCTATCATAGAGGAAAAGGTTTCAGATATTAAATGGGTTTTATTTTGAGACTTTTTCCTTTTCTCTTTTATAGAAGCCCTTATACATGAGACAACAGAATATCAAGTGGAAGAAGTCCTATTTTAAGTGACTCACTTGAATATATGTATATGCAGCTCAATGCTGGGAGGTCTCTTATATGCGATGCTGCTTCACTTGGCATCATTCTCAGTCAGTTAGATCAGTTATTATATTTTAATATTTAATGTGTACTGTTTTGTTTTAAATGTATTGTTTTCTATGTAGCCAAGTGTAAAGCTAAAAAGGTCACGAAAAGTTGTTTAGTTTTTAGTTAAGCCTTTTAACGGAAAATCATATTGAAAGTATTTAAAAATTCAACAGAAACTTTGCACTTCAGCTCAAGGTCAAAAGTCGAGTTCATAGGGGCTTGGATTTGGTTTTACATTCTAATTATTTGCAAATGAAACACTTTTTTATTAGACAATAAAGCTAGCTGCTAATGGTAACTTGAATGTCCCAGATCAAGATAAATTCTTTGCATATAGAGGAAATCTAAGGGAACTGCTTAGAGAGACCAAGACATGTGACTGAGATAGAGGATGAAAAATGAAAACCAAAACAGAGAAAATAATTGGAAAAGAAATGAATGAATGTGAATTGGAATTGTTCCTATAGCAAAAGTCTAAAATTAAATAAATCTTAAATAAATTGAAATGCAGTAAAATCGAACTTTACACAAAAAACAAACCGAAACTTTTTATCTAAATCAAAAATTAATTCACAAATAAACGAAGCTCAAAAATTTTAAATTTGAATTATCGAAAATTATTGAGAATGAAGTTTTTTCTAGGGAAATGTTTTTTTGCTTTTCAATTTATCGAGACTCGACTGTATATATTCTTCTAACTCCCCTTCTGGTCCCCTCCTCTGTCTGCTGGTCTATTCAAAATGGTCAAGTTAAGTCAGCTTGAGCTGAGCTTTGTTTTGGTCACGCATTAACTGGACTGGAACATGCTCTCTCTCCCTCTCTCTCTCTCTCTCCCTCGCCCTCTCTCTCTCCCTTTATCTCTCTCACTCTCTATTTATCTCTCTGCCTGTGTCGCGGGCTACTTTGTGATTCCTGCCATGTGGCATGTGTCCAAAAAATAAAGCAGTCGAAACTTCGCGTCGCATCGCATCGCATCGCTTTGCGTTGCGTTGCTTTGCTTTGCTTTGCTTTGCTTTGCCTCCCTTTAGAGTGGGCCGTCGAATTGCTTTTCGATTAATTTCACGCTTGTCAGCGGCTGTGATACGCCCAGTGGACCGCACTGGCTGCGTTTGGCCCGCGGTGGCTGCCATTTTTTGGCCATGCCCACAGCGCCCACATGTATGCTAAGCATTCGCCTGCTCCACAACTCACACTCGCCCTCTCTCTCTCTCTCTCCCTCCTGCCACTCTCTGTCTCGTATCTAAACTCACGCTCTGCTCGAATGTATCAACAGCAGCAACAACAACAACAATAACAACAAACAGCGCAGCAAATTTTCTGTTCATTAGCGAACAGCCAACTGACACTTACATCCACTCCCCCATTCGACCCTCCAGCAACCCCTACGCCCGTCTGGCCCCACACATCCCCTGTTAAGCTGCCAGCAGCGTGTGCGTGCCTTTGGCTTTGATTTTGATTTTATTAAGTCAATGACACATCTGCGGTCTGGCAACCCTCTGGCACGTCAGGCCGGGCCTTGCCAGACTCCGGACTCCGGACTCCCGCCAAACCTGCTACCCCTATTACTCAACCCCCATGCCCTAAGCCATAAGCCCCAAGCCCAAAGCCCGCCTCATTCCCCCCACTCCAGCTGGCATTTAACGAACTGTAACTGCTGTCAATTTGCAGTCGCTGACTTTTGAGCCATAATTTCATATGTGTGTGTGTGTGTGTGTGTGTGTGTGTGCGTGTGTGTGATGGAGGTGTGTGCGTGTGTGTTACCTGACAAATGTCGAAACGTGACACTTGCCAAGGAATTACATGAGCTAAAACTTCTCTCCCTCTCACTCTCACTCTCTCAGTCTCTTCTGCTTCTTCTTGAATTTACAACGGTAAAAACTTGAGCAACTTTGAGTTTCTTTTTCTGCCTGTCTAAAAGAGAGAAGACTTTTAGTTCCATTAGCTACAATTATAGCTAATTTGATAATAAATTGAAATTAAATTTTATCAAATATTTAGGTATCCATTAGCTACCAAATAGAGAAGAATGCTTAGGTGGGGAGTGCTCGACTAATAGATACCTTAGTTGGTCGGCATAGGGCGAGATAGGTTGATGAATTCTTAGAGTGTTTGGATTGCGAAATATACTTTACATATATGCTAGATCGAAATGAGGAATGCTCGACTAGAAGATACCTTGTCCAACTGAAGATTCATTGAAATTCTCTAGAATATATTGTATTTATGAGCACGCTTCTATCTAGGCGTCCATATATGAGGGCCCAAAAGAGTTTGTAACTCGAGTACGACGGCTACTTCGATTTTCATGCTATTGTCTATCGATTTCCATGTAATCGTTTATCGATCATAATGATGCATTATCATCTCTCGCACACTTAGGAACTCGTGAGCGACAGCTACTTCGATTTCCATGCTATCGTCTATCGATTTCCATGTTATCGTTTATCGATCATTATGATGCATTATCATCTCTCGCACACTTAGGAACTCGAGAGCGACATCTACTTCGATTTTTATGTTAGCGATCGATTTCTATATTATCGACTATCGATTATTATGATGCATCATCTCTCGCACATTCAAAGCATTTTCAACGACTGTGTTGTATGAATTGTGATCTGGTTTTATTTAATTTGGTAATCTTATATCGTTCCTTGGCACATTTCCCGTTGTTATGGCATATAAAAATTTGGCTAACATGCTCGTCTTAAGTTTGCTTTATATCTGCCTGCTTGGCTCTTAAAACTATCTGGAAATTTCATACGGCAAGTTTGACTTTTTTATTGCTCTTGATGAGAACTTAACAAAAAGAAAAAATAAATACAGCGAGATACAACTGTGGACGGGCGTAGGTCTGGGAGACATAAAAAGCTGTCAAGTTCTCGCACTTTGGCTTTTTATGAGCTGCAGAAGATGCCAAGATATGCAAAAGGCAGTTAAACTTTGACGGGCAACCAGGGATGGAAGAAGCAGGAGGCGCGAGGCAGGAGGCAGGTGGCAGGAGCCAGCAGGCAGATGGATAGACTGACAGTCGGATAGACAGATGAAGCGCTGAAGGATTCCTAGTCGCATTGTCATTCCGCTTCAAGCCATTGCAGCAGACGAAGACAGAGCTGGAGCAGGAGCAGCAGCAGCAGCAGGAGCAGAAGCTCTAGAGTTGGAGCATGGGCCAGAGATGTGTGTAATTAAATGCTGATGCTGATGCTGTAGGCGGAGCATGGGTTGAAGGGCCAACATTGTCCTGGGACTTCAAGCTATGGCTGTGGGCGGCGTAGGCCGGCGGGGCAAGCGGGTGGCGGGACGTGGATGTTACTCAATTTCTTAATTTACGCTACCCGAAACGTGTTGATGGAGGCGCAACTGGAAACCGTGTAACTGTATAAAGAGTGAGGGGCAGGGAGAACATTGAGTAGGAGTGGCGAGGGCGACGGCGAGACTTGACTGTCGCAATGGCTGTTCGGCTGGTTGGCTGACAGCGCCACAGCTCCTTGGGGTAATGGCCCAGGCAACCGGCCAGGCATTAAAACGGCCCGTGCGTCCCATTTCAATTAGTGTGCATTACAAATGAAGTTTGGGAATAGCACGAGAGTCGAGGCCGTCCTGCCAAAGGCTAAGGTGAGCGGCGACACAAACACACACACACACACGCAAAACGTGCCAGTCTGGCAACGCTGCTTGCGCTGCAATTTAAAGCCAACTGGCAGCACGTGCGACCACCACTCGATACGTTACCTTTTTTCGATCTGCCCCGTTCTCTCTCTCTCTCTCGCTCTCTCTCTCTTTCGCTCTCTATCTCGTTAGCTGGTTTTATGCCACATTCAATGACAGTTCGAATTCAATTTCCAGCTCGCCTCACGCACTGACCTTGATGTGTGGCTGTTTGATGAGTGGGGGCTCCTATAGCCTTGCCACGCCTACCAAATGCAACCGCTGTCGCCGCCTGGCTTTAAGAGCGTCCTTGCCGCTTCACTGCACGCGCTCAGCTCGCAGCTATCTCGTTTATTTTATTTGCTGACTGCACTCGCCGAAAGTTCTCTAGTGCGCAAACAGACTCCGCTCTAAGGACACTGGCCGAAAGTGTTTGACTGTGAGTCGCATTGCGATCTTAGCCTGGCGAACTTTCGCCTATGCCTTTTGCATTTTGATGTAGGATGTGCGAATCAGTTGATCCAAAAGGTCAACAGAAGCTGAGATAAAGGATTAGAATATAATTTTCTATCAGCCTTTCATTTGCTTAGTTTGTAGCTGAAAGTGGTAGAGCTCGGGATTTTTCGATACTCCAAGCTGGATACATTTGGGAAAGTGTTCATTGAGAGAGACAGGGATAAGAAATACATATTTCAGTTTATTTTTTGAAGTTAACCCAGACTTGATTATGAACGTCTTCACATTATCAAAGTCTTTTGCACTTCCATACGATTTCAATATGCTTTAGCCCAGTTTTAAGCTTGTCTGTATAGGGGAACATGTTTTCGTGCAGTGTAGCTCGCATACACCTGATATTTGCGCACGTTGCATCCCACGCTGAGCTGTCGACAACAGTTTTCAAAGCCATTAAACATGACACGCACAGCACAGCACACCACGCCCACTCTGATGCCAGGATGCCATAACTAAACCCATTCTCTGTTCCGTTCCATGTTGCAGATCTGCTCATCGAGATGCTGGGCGTATTGGCCAGCTATAGCATAACGGTCAAGGAGCTGAAGCTGCTCTTTGGCACGATGAAGGCCAACAATGGCAAATGGCCGCGTCACTCGGCCAAATTGTTGAATGTGCTGCGACAAATGCCGCACCGCAACGGACCCGATGTGTTCTTCAGCTTTCCCGGCCGCAAGGGATCGGTAAGTCCATATCTAATAATAATAAACAACAGCAATAATCGATTCTCGTTTTATTTGTGTACCCTGTGCTCATTGAGAGCGAACTATGTGTGGGTATATTGACTAGGGGTGGCCTACGTAACAGGCAGATTGCCTCTACACATTTTATATTGTCGGAATGTGATTACCATGAAAACTTTGGGATGATCAAAGTCCAGTATATATTTATCCATATATATCTTGTGTAGGACATATGTAGCTCTACTGGCCTGCCTATCTCTTTCATTATAAGTTGTAATCCAGCTACTTTTAATCTGTTTTTGTCAAATCGATAAATATCGATTATCAGTTAAACCTGATAAATAAAATCTTGGAGTAGAATTTATATTAGCTTGGAGCAATGTTCATTTTTAGCATTATTCATTGGTCATTTATTTGGCAATATTTTCTTATTGCTTAAATCGATAAAAATGGATTCCGAGTCATTGGCATAGAAGCCCAACTAAGAAATAATTAAGAAATTATATCACTCAAACTCAACTTTTAAAATGTCTTATAGCATATATATTCAAAATTATTAAATCGATAAATATCGGCAGAATGTATCTATCGATTTATTAATATTTTTTTTCGAAAGTCAACTATATTTAATATATATGCTATGACATATAAAAGATCTGCTTTTTCATGCATATAGAGTATCTACCAGTTGGGCATACCCACCCTAGGTGGATTTACTCCCGCTTGCTGCTGGCTTCTGGCCGAATTGCAAGCTGGCTTTAAGTGCTGAGACATTCCGGCCGCCTCATCTATAGCTCCAATGGCTAGCAAGCACTTGGAGCACTTCAGCTCCAACTACGCCCTGTGGCATTTCTATAGCTGGAGGTTTAGGAGGTTCGACTAGATAGAGTGAGTGGGGTGGGGTGGGGTGGGGTGGGGCTCGGGCTGGGCTTTTATTTTATTGCGTCGCACTTAAATCGAATTCGTAATGTGAGCTGTCCATGTGGCATGTGCCAACTCTGCTGTCTCAGCTGACACACCCCCACCCCTGGCACTCAGACACACACACACACACACACATACACACTCAGACACACTCGCTCGCACCGTGGGCGACTTCTATTGCTATCTGTCTATAGGATAAGCACATAAAAAGTTCCATAAAGCGAATTGGAAGTCAAATGCGATACGAAACGATGCGAAATGAAATGAAATGAAATGAAACAAAACGAGAGACTCGCAGAGCAATTGTCACAAAATGTTCAATAAACAGGCAGGACATGTTACCCCCCCAGATCCCCAATCGCACCCGACTCCCAAGCACTAAAACGCTCAGCTCAATGGACATGTGCTGCGCCTCCTGCTCGCTTCTTCTCCTGCTTTTATCTCCCCTCTATTTTCTATTTTCTATTTTCTCTTTCTTTTTTTTTTTTTAATTTTCGCTTAGCGCACTTTTAGACTTTAATGTGGGTTGATGGCTGTGCCTCTAGGTCCCGGCGTTGCACTAATGAGACGCCCCCAGCCAGAGGGTCAGCATGACAGCAGAAGGAGATGGCACGAGATAGACAACGAGTGAGGGGGAGAGGGAGCGAGGCTGTTGGGGACAGTTGGCAGACAAAAGGCAACAATGTTAAATCATGTGGCATGCCACATGCCACACAGCATTGTTGCACTTTGTTGCACAATCGAGTGAGGCCTCAAGACAATATCCGTGCCACACGAAGCTCAGTCCGTCTGCGCATACAAATGAATGCGAACTACGAAAACGAATACAAAAGCGTATAAATGTTAAATGAATATCATAAAACGAACACGACACACTCTGTCGCCCTCTCTCTCGCTCCCGCTTCCTCTCTCACTCGGCAAGTGAATGTTATGAATGCAAATACAGCTGGACGCTTAACAAGTATTCATACATTCAATACAGCTCGATTTTTGTGGATAAACTTGAGGCTTTTGAACGAACTTTAATATGGGCAAATGAAAAGCCTTCTTCTTTTTTCCCTCTCCTCGAAAAACAAGGATATTCATGAGTCCCTAAACAAATATTCTGAATAAAATGCATGTGTAAAAGAACAGCAGGAGGAATCGTTATTGTGAATGGAATCCTTCATTTACTCAATAGATTCTTTATTAAACGGTTTTGATTTCGAAATTTATCAGACAGATTCATGAAATCAAAGAAATTTCCACAGCTCTTAATAATTGGAACTAAAAGTAAAGTTATACTCTCTGCCTTCCAAGTCCACTCACAAATTGGAATATATCGAAATACATTTAGTACTTCGATATATTTTGATTCGCGAGTGGACTTGTCCGAGATTCACTGGCATGATTTATCTTCAAGAGACCATTGCGTTATCCAAGTGTAAAGTTGTTTCAAAGAGAATTCCTGGTCTGTACTTAAAAGAGCCTTATGTTCCATGGAACCCCACGATAATGGAGATGCTATGGAAGAGTTATGTTTAGATTAGGTGAGAGTTTTAAATAAAAGGTATTGCTCCTCAGAGTATCAGTAAGTTTATCAAAATTGTTGAGTCTAGTTATTAGAGGAATCGGAAACTCACAGGAATCGGAAACCCATTCGAAAACTGGATAAGCTATACGCTAAACTGGATAAGCTATAGCTATATATATAGCATAAATATATATTGTTATCTCTTCCTCTTACTGCTTATTCGAGCTTCACTCACATCTCTCATCTCACTCTCACCCTCTCCCCCTCTCTTTCGCTCTCAACAGTTTGCAATTAAGTTGGCTTAATTCGCATTTGCGAATTACCCGAAATTTGCCAAAATGCAAAATGCAACAAAAATGTCGAGATAATCAAACGGATGCGAATTTGCTGTTGGTTCAGGTGTTATGAATGGGCAGACAGGAGAGTTAACATTTAGATAGCTGTCCTCTTTCCTTTTTTTTCTCTTCTTTTCATGTGAGAGGTCATTTAAACATGATAAGAACAGATATTGCGAGCATTCGAAATGGGCAAATAAATTTATGAAGCTAAACACGCAGCTAAGCGTGCGAATGAGTGTGTGCGAGTGTGTGTGTGCGAGTGTGTGTGTGTGTGTATGCTCTATCCATGTGTTTCTGCTCGGCCGTAAAGCCACAAAATTCATGATAAATCAAAATGTGCTCATTTCCTTTTAATTTTGGCTTCATTTCTGCTGTCTGGGTTTTATGCTTTGCCTTTGCGGTTGACTTTATTGGTATGTAAGTGTATATGTGTGTGTGTGTATGTATAAAGTAACAATTGAAGGTAGCTTAAAACGAACAGCAGCAGCATCCGCAGTTGTCTCTGACTGAGCATTTCTCAGAATGGCAATTTTCAGAACAAAACATAAATCAAATCGATTCATGCATGGGAAATCGAGGCAAGCGAGAAAGCCAATACACCCGCTGCAGGGTACAGCTGGCAGGGTATCAAATATGCAGAAATTTGATTTATGCTCAGTTTCGGCCTGGGGTCTGTTCGTTTGGTTCATTTGGTTCAGTTGGTTCAGTTGGTTCATTTGGCTCTCAGTGCTGCGAGGCTTTACGCTTGACTTTGTGACTTTTGTGACTTGCAACCAAGTGTTGCATGCCACAAAAAGGAGCTTTGGCTAGAGAGGAACTTGTGTGGCTCACTTAAACTGACCAACTGCTAATTGAGATTTAACAGGCGTACTCCCTCTCTCTCTCCCTCTCTTCTGTCTTGGTGTGCGGCTAATTGTGGCACATTTGACTAAAGTCTCTGCTTGTTCTTCTTCATCCACAGGCAATGGTGCTGCCGCCGCTGGCCAAGTGGCCATACGAGAATGGATTCACCTTCACCACCTGGTTTCGATTGGATCCCATCAACTCGGTGAACATTGAGCGCGAGAAGCCCTACCTCTATTGGTGAGTAACTGATACAGCCTGCGCTTGCCACTAATTGTGGCACGCACTAATTGTGCTCATATATATTTCACGCGTGCTAATATCTCTCTCTCTCTCTCTCTCTCTCTCTCTCTCTCGCTTCATCTTAGCTTCAAGACATCGAAGGGCGTTGGCTATACGGCCCACTTTGTGGGCAACTGCCTGGTCCTCACATCGATGAAGGTCAAGGGCAAGGGCTTTCAGCATTGTGTCAAATATGAATTCCAGCCACGCAAGGTAAGTGCCGCTGCTCATCCGGTTTGTCCCCCATCTTCAGCAGCTAATCGTTACACCTGTGAATTACGACCATTAGCTACCGACACAGCACAGCACACACACACACACACACACACACATGCTCGTCTGGCTGCCCAGTTTCAATTTATGGGCGTGATTTTGGGTCTGCCAAAGTTTAATTAACAGCACATCGAATGGCCAACAACAGGGCCTAATTACCTGCCCGAAGCAATTGAAATTTGTTTTGCGACCCGAATTAACTGCACAAACTACCAAAGCTGGCAGCGGCACATAAAGAGCCCAGTTTATACGACATGCCGTCGCCTCCGACAGGAGCCGAAACTTGCGTTAAGCGAAAATTAATTTAGAGTTTCGGCCTGCCAGGATTAGAGATACCTGAAATCTAATTTTGGCTCAGTGTGTGAGACCCAAGCAAGTTGTGCTCTAATTGCAGCAGGACTTGATACGCACATATATGTGGATATAAGAAACTTTTAATTCCTCGAGCTCTGCTAGAGCAGTGAAAAGCTCGTTAGATATAGATATAGATATAGATATAGATATAGATAGATATATACAGATATATGGATGCAGATAGATGTAGATAGACATATAGAGAGCCCATATACTCTTAACTCCTCTCGTATGAGCATCACATAGAGGGGCTTAGTATGAGATCTTAGCGTGCTGCAAGTAATTTATCAAAGCTGGAGCTGATATTTGCGTATCGATAATTATATATATGTAGAGATAGACAGACATGCATATAGATATACATAAAGATATATATACAGCTGTATGGATGCATGTGTATACATATATAGATCGTCTCTAGATGTAACAGATTGAAGAGTTCTATGGGTGCGATAGATATAGATGGATAGAATAGATATACATATAGATATACTTATAGAAATACATATAGATATATGTATCTACAGATATATGGATATCATTTAGAAACATAGAGAGCTAGTAAGGAGAAAATAATTCAAAACCTATATACTCCTTTTACTTCTTGAATGAGCATAGCTTAGAGCGGGTTGGTATGAGAGCTTCGTGTGCTGCTTGTTCTCTATCAAAAGTTAGAGTTGATGTATGTATTAGACATATAAATAGGATAGTTTTTGGGGCTCGATAGATATATACTGATGAATATTTGAGCAATATATATGTACAGTCAAGTCCCGATAATTCGTACCTAGCTAAATCGAAAATGGCGATAAATCGAAAAAAATTCGATTCCCTTGAAAGAAATTCGCTCTGAATAATTCTCGATACTTTGAATTTCTGTGTAAATTGAAAAAGAAGTGACCCCCCTGCCATTTCGAATTATCGTAACTCTACTGTATATGAATATATACATGAGCAGGATTAAGCTGAATATATATTGTTATTAATTTGGATCTCGATATTGAATCACTTAGTCTCCACATATTTTACTGTCTACGGTGTATATTATATAAACATAGATTGATATATGTATAGACAGTTCGTAGAAAAGGCGTACATTAAAAAAAGCCAACGAGCAAGGAGTAGAGTGTGAACACTTCTTTCAGATCCCCAAGTTTGAGTGGATAGAAAACCAACTCTATATGGCATATTGTTAAGTAAACATTTTCTTTAACTATTGCTATCTCTCTCTCTCGCTCTCGCTCTCTCAGTGGTATATGATTGCCATTGTGTACATATACAACCGTTGGACAAAAAGCGAAATCAAGTGCCTCGTAAATGGACAACTGGCGTCTTCAACTGAAATGGCCTGGTTTGTTTCCACAAACGATGTAAGTAGAGGCAAGGAAGGTGAACAACAATAGCCAAAACTCACTCTCTCTCTCTCTAACTCTCTCTCTGTCTGTATGTAGCCCTTTGACAAGTGTTATATTGGCGCCACGCCCGAGCTGGACGAGGAGCGCGTCTTCTGCGGCCAAATGTCGGCGATTTATCTGTTCAGCGAGGCGCTGACCACACAGCAGATCTGTGCCATGCACCGCCTGGGGCCGGGCTATAAGGTAAGTGGCCGCCGCTGGGCTCAAGCGTAGCACTGTACACCACCGTAACCACTGTGGCTGCACCGCCAACTGAACCACAGCACTGCAGCAACAGCAGCACCTTTGTCCTCTTTATTGTGAGAAAATTCTACGACAACAATAATTACATGTATTTTTTTCCAATTCTTTTTTCTTTTTCTTTTGTATTTTACTTGTCCCCGCTCTCTCTCTCTCTCTCTCTCTCTTTCTCTTTCTCTCTTGTTCTCGTGCCGCACCAATTTTGTGTCCGTCATCCACACACACACACACGTCAACACCAACACACACACACACAGTCGCAATTCCGCTTCGATAACGAGTGCTATCTGAATCTTCCGGACAATCACAAGCGGGTGAGTCACTTTCAACTAACAAGCAGTTTGGGTGGTGCGCTGCTGGTGGGCGGCGATGCTGCCGCAGCGAGCAGCAGTGGCAGCAGCAACAGCAACAATAACAACAGCAGCAGCGGCAGCAACAACAGCGCCCAGCAATTGCAGCAACAGCAGCAGCAACTGTTGCAGCTGCAATTCCAAACGCTCGCCGCCGAGCAGGAGGCGAGCGCCATCGATTGGTCCGACGAGCGGCTCGACCTGAGCGCGGCCTTTGTCAAGATACGAGCGGTGCTCACCGCACGCAATGCAGTTGCCTTGGCATCGCTAACGGGTGCAGGTGCTGCTGCAGGTGCAGCAGCAGCAGCAACAACAACAACAGCAACGGCAACGGCAGCTGTTGCCGCCGCAGCAGCTGCAGCGGCAAACGCCCCTGGCGCGCCCAACGATGGCAGCAGCAGCAACACCGAACAGCAGCAACAACAATCGAACAGCAACAACAGCAACAACAACAACAACAGTAGCAACAATCACAGTGCGGATGATCCGCTTGGCCATTTGCCCACTGGAAATGCTTCTTTTGGTATTTATGATTTTTATGTGTGCGATTGGCTCTCGATTTTCGATTCTTATGTTTTATCGTTTGTCGGTTTTCGTTTCCGTTTCTGTTTCCGTATCCGCTTACGTTTATCGTTTCACCCTTGACCTGGGCGGGGCAGACCAGCTGCGTCGCATGTCCAGCTTGACCAGCCTGAGCTCCATGGGCGTGGCCGGCGCCGCTGCCATCGCCGGCGACACTGAGGAGATCAACCAGCTCAAAGCTGTAAGCAAATATTTTATTTCTTTTCAATTGTCAGCAAGTTTTATTTACATTATTTTACTTTGAAATGCATTTCTCATTTAAGTTTAGCTATACCAATACATTTGTAAATTTTTAATTTAATTTTTTATATTTGTTACATTTCTTTGAAATTTTTATTTTTAATTATTATTTTTTTAAATAATTTCTA